GCGTATCCACGTAGTTCTCGCCGCCGCGGGGCGATACGTCACGGAAACTTTACGTTGATGGAAATATCTCGCGAAGATTTATTTGGCGCGTGCTGGATTAAGAGAAATTCCAGAAGAATTGTTCTAGTCCATAAACTTGAAGTAAACTCGTCCTCGCGATTAATCCCTCCCCGAAGGATTAAACTTTACAAAGGTTAACGACCCTCGCGCGATGTCGGGGACGGCCCCGCTTGTCGCCCTTCGCGAGTTAAAGTGCACTTATTGACCGCTCTTACAAGCAATCCGCCCACGTCACCCCCGGTAATCCCGGATCCGCTACGCGGAGTACATTCCGTGTACAAGTAGCGATCCTGCCGGAAGGATCTCCGAATCCCCGACGACCTGTCCTCTTAGCGTCATTCTCGCCGGAGAGATCAGCTGGGGGAGCTTTCGTGTGGAAAAAAAAGGAGGAAGAAAAAAAAGTGGACGGAAAACTGGCGAGGCGGGTGAAGAGGAAGGGGACGTGAAAGAAGAAATTCTCCGATCGTAATCGTCGCTTCGTGCCGTTTCCGCCCTCTGACTACTACAATCCTCCCCTTCGACTTCCCGTCCGCCCGCCCGTGTCAGTCCGATCTCCGAAGCGTCGTAAAAATAGACACCTGGAGGACACCCGAGGTGACACTCGTTAAACGCGGAAAGGACTTCGAGATCGGCAGGATGGCGATCCGCCGGCGCGATCGAGAAGAACGACGAGTAACGAAAGATAGCGAACGAATAGCGCGCGAGCGAAGGATCGTAAAGTCACCTATTTTCCTCTTCCCGCTTGCCCCTCCACGCATATCACGAGAGATGAAATGCATAGGAGAAGAACGATTGCCACCCGTTGGCAATCGAGATCTTCTCGCCTCGCGGATCTGTCATTCGTAACGACGTGACTTCTCCACGGCGATTAAACGGCGAGCACACGTTTCGATTGCAAAATTGAATATGCTGTGTAAAGTTTTACGCATTCCCGGTAACGATGCTCAAAATTCGGTTTTCAAAATAACGAATAACTTCGGATGAGTGCATTTCGCGGAAATAAACAGTAGTTCTTCGAAAGAGGCATTTTTTGTATTGGTTTTATTTATTTAAATGGAGAACGGAAAGGACTCTTGAATCTGCTAAACACGAAAATAGATACTTCAGTCGCTGATTTAGTTTTACAGCACTCGATAAAAAATAATCTTATGACTCTTGTCATTTTTATAGATTGGCACTGCAGTTTTATACAAAAAAATAAAAAAGCGAAGGCTTTATTTGGCAAATTGGGTTGAATTATTGGATAATTATGTATAATCTATATCAACGCAAGAATATGTGTGTTGCGACACACATGTGAGATACATAATGATATTTGATATGATATTTATAATTTAAATTTTTATTCCAGAACGCGCGCATTCAATAATCTAGATAGAATGTGTTTGCTTTTTTCATTTTTTGTTCTTTCGTTTTTTTTATTCAATCCCAAATGTCGGAACTCTCCGTCATAAAAGTATGTCGCCATAAATAATGCTTGAAACGTGAAATAATTTCTGCGGTGACTCAATATTAGTTTTCATCCTTTTCCCTGTGGTTCTTAACAGGACTGATGATTCCAGCAGTGTGCCATAAAAATTTCAACGTAATATCTCAAACGATTCTCCCACTAGAGCTTTTATGTTAAAAATGTATTTTTCTGTGAAAACCACGCTAGATGGTGGGTGACTAAGCGCATCAAATGTACATTTAATGCGAATTTCAATAAATTTTATCAAGATTTATGCACTTCTATTAAATCTACTGAAATTATTGATGTGATATCTTTATAGATTACAGCCTCATAAAAAATGATTAAAAATTAAAAATATACTATAAAATAATAAATACGCAATAAGAACGAATCAAAATTTAAACATGAAAGTAAAAAAAATATATAGACGCAAATTCTGAAGTTATTTTGTCAAAATGCTATTTTGCATAGAAAAAAGTATACTGGATGAGGTACTTAATTTAGATATTTATCTTTCTGATTGCAGCTCTGAAAACCTTCGTCGGCGAGACACTGGAATTGACGGGGGTGATGCGGCAAGAGATGGGCACGTATCTCTGCATAGCCAGCAACAACGTGCCGCCGACGGTTAGCAAGCGTTACTCCGTCAATGTTCACTGTAGGTATCGTACCGCTCTGCGGCCGTTAATTAGCCGTCGCTCCGTCATCGTTCCACTGCATACATTAGCAGGGCAGAGCGTTGGAATATCCTTGCTATTCTGTGCTTTTGAAATTGCAGAATAGTGATTGCAAGCGTCGTTATTGACGAATTCCGAAGAGAAAGCTTTATTAAATTTCAAGCAAAACATGCGAAATATTACATCTGTGAAGTAAACTTTGCGGACAAATAATTATAGTTAATTATACTTATTAGAAAATTTTTAGTTTTAATTTTGAAAGTCACCGCGCTGAAGGATCCTTTAGATTCGTCCCTGTGCGTTACTGCATAATTACTCGCCTGTAGCCATCCTTCGCAAGTTCACGTGACAATGTGACAGACTGGATGGATAAAGATGAGCGCGTTAATTAATTATTTAATTAAACAGAGTATATAACGATTACAGTGCTTTTGAGATAATATATGCTTAAATCTATTTTATATTGCCCTAATTATATGTTTCCCCGATGTTTAAACAAAGTTTCCACGAACTGCAAACTGCTAAATAAAATGTTTCAACGTAGTTTGTTGAATAGGAATTTATGTATAGACTACTTTTAAATGCACTCTGTATATTTGGACATGATATAATTTTATTTCTTCACAGATAAATTTTTATTTTATTGTGTGAATAATCTGTGTAATAATAATTAACACTGTTATGAATTTTAAAGACACTATCATTTTTATGTCGGTTATATTAAACGCTCTGTTAACTTAATATAATGTACAGTAATTATTATAGGGTGAGAACCATGTCGATTATTAATGCTTCTTCAATATCGGCGGTAAAACTATCATCCGGCTACTATAGAGTGCTGCGGTTAAGGATACTCCGACAGGCTTTAAATAGGAAATGAGGTTGAGATGAACTTCGAAACATTTTTCGATATCTACATTACTGCAGAAAATTTTCATTCAAAAACTTTCCGCAAAAAACCGCAGCCGTGCCCAGCATTGTTAATTTTGAACGACACCAACAAAAATTGCTATATATAGCATGCTAATACTACATAGTATTTTCATGAATATTTTAGTTGCTCTGATTATCATTACTGTAATTCGAGAAACAATTTTATTTTTAATCTTTTTATGCTGTTATATTATCGCCAACTTTTATATGCTCCGCGCAAATATCAAATAGTGGCGCGACGATAAAAATATTTATTTCAGTGTTAAACAATTTAAATTTTCATTACCGAAAAACAGCGTGTTGCGCTGGGCTCGTTGCGAAAAATATGTCAATCACATTCTCGTGGCAGAGACAATGGAACTACCGGGAATACGTGCATACATTTGCAACGTTGCGCCGCACGTATCGGGAGGCTAAAAAATCACCGTGCAATTTGGCTAACGGCATTCGCAAATGAAAACTTTATCAAGCCCGAAGTCAGCTTGCGCAGGGCGTTTTTCTCGCGCGCAAAACTTCCGGCCGCGCGCTGCTGCTGTAAAATTAACCGACGGGCTTGACGATTTATCCACGTCGTCGCGGGGCGTGTAAATATTTGAGTGCAAAGGGTTTCGCATTAATTTGCTGCTTACGAAATGTAATATTAACCCACCAGCGGTAGCGTTCGAGCGCAAAATGTGGCGCAATTGGTTAATTCTTGAATGAGCAGTACATGAGTCTTCTTTAGGAGACTTCAAATGCATTTTTACTCGACTTTGTAGTACATTTACTCTATATAACTTTATTCCGTCCGTACATAAAAAAAAATCTCTTTTATAATATTACATATTTGTTTTTCTTAATAGCCAAAGAGATAAATTAACAGTAAAATAAGAAAAATTTTATATTAAAAGATACGAAAATTAATTTAAAAAATTTAAGAACGTGGAAAATAAACGATATGTATGTTATATTCATTTATTCTTTATTTTCAGCTTTATATGTTTTTTTACTGTAATATCATCCAAAAGTTAAAACCGATGACTTGTTATTCTAAATTGCTCGATACTATATTTGGCATTGTAAACTGCTGAATCGTTAATTGCGATAATTTAATGTTTGATTGTTGCAGTTCAACCTCTTATTAAGGTGACGAGTCAATTGGTGGCTGCGCCGATTAATAGAGACGTCGTCCTACAATGTTACGTCGAAGCGTCACCGCACGCCATGAATACATGGTACAGAGAGTCAGGTGAAAAATAACAGATTATTCCATATCTTTACAGTTTTTTTATACAAGATATTCTTTGGCACCAATCTAATTTTGAAGACGTATATTTTTTATTGATTTTAAATAATTTAACAGAAACTTCAAAGTAAAAGAATACCTATTTTTAGATTTGTATCGATTTATCCACGTCGCAACTGGCTGCAAAAAGCGCTTTTAACGATTAAAATCCATTAAAGAATTTGTCGTTGAAATTCAATCCGACACTAATCAAACGCCCTTTAATTTGTATTGCACCATGTTACATCAACAGATTTGCACTCTTGATTAACCATAGAATTGTTGCAATCAATTTCTATAGCGTTAACTCCAACATGCCATAATAATATTGATTGCAAGTCAGAGTTGCGTGAGATTAAAAATCTGTATTCTTTTATGCGATTGTACTATAGTTTTATCAAGTCGCGAAAAGTTTTTTCGCAATACGCTTCCGCGTTAATCAAATATGTAAATTTATGAATTACTCTTAAACGCGTAGTTGCTCTACACGTAGAGTTTCACTGCTGCTCTGAAAAAAAAAACTAAATCTCTTGTGAAATGCAGTGCATTCAAAAATTTCTGATTAACGATAATAGTCTTTCGCGAATGATGATTTCAAAGCTTAATTTTATTCCGCGCAATAAACAATATAAACATAAATATTAAAAATGCATATGAAAATAATTGATACAATTGTGTAAATGCATGTGAAAGTAATTAATACAATTGAATATCATTTTGTACTGTTCTGATTGTAAAGCCGTAAAAAGATTATTTGTGAATTACATATTTGTATTGCAATTGTTACAAATGTGGGTATAATTATGTTTCGATTTGTTTATTTTATTTTACGAATATATTTATAATTATTTACTGAGAAATGGTATTAAAAATTTACATCGCCAAATGTTTATCTGCATTAATGTTAAATTAAAAATTTCGCACTTTTAAGTGTCAATAAATCAGCCGTGTACACCATCGTGTAGAAAATCGTGTCAGTTAAATTTTCGAGTTAAATAAAGTGTCTGTTATCAGACACGTTTTAAATGGACAGTTTTTTATTAAATCGTAATCAATCTATATCACACGATTGTAATTATCGCCTTCGATCGCTTTTATTGCATAAAACGAACTCTGCAACAAACATGTCTGTTACAAGTGAAAGAGGCACGCAATTAAAAATAGTGCAATATTTCCATTCGCTTTCTATTTAGGCGAGAAACTGCTGCCCAGTGACAAATACGCGATGTCGGAGTATGCACTGAATGATTACTCCCGGCAAATGAATCTCACTGTCAATTCCCTGGAAAAACGAGACTTCGGCGGATACGTGTGCTCGTCCGTCAACGCGCTCGGCAAGGCCGAAGGTGTAGTGAGATTGCAAGGTACTGAGAATTCCGATATTATGGCAAACTGTATTTCTTCAGCTCCTTCTCTTCAAATATTCCGTTTTTAATTCAAGCAATACACTCTGTGATGAATCCGACAATAAGATTTTATCTTTTGCAATGTATTACAGTACAGAAATTAAAGTTAAAATACAAGATTTCGATGCATCGCAGTAAAAAAAATGTCAAGTTTAAAATGCCAGGCCTATCAAATTTTATAGTATAAGATTTCAGTGTTTAACCCTTAATCCCGACGGTTCTTTTCGGCACCTTTAATCCCGACTCATGAGTCGCTTTGCGTCTTTGCGTTATTTGGATCAGTAAAAACGCTTTAAAAATCTGAAAAATTCATGGAGCTTCTTTCAACCTTCAATTTGAAGTCCCAATTATAATATTTCGATAAAAATTATTTTTATATAGTTTGTTATTAAGAAATGGAGGTACCTTACAGCACTTTGAAATTTCGCTTGGGTCGAAAACGACCCATAAGTCGGGATTAAGGGTTAATAATGAATAAAATGTACACACTTCAACATTCTAGCCCATTTCTAAAATTTTAGATCTAGCAAATATTTATGATATAAGATTTTAAGGCATAAAAATTAATTGATGAAGTTTATTTATCAAACTTCAGACAAGTTCTGGATATTAGCACTGCTTTAAAGTAATTATTTTGTCGTTATTATTCAGTGAATATTTTACTTTTTTGTACTTAGAACTGCACTTATTCGCAAAGACAACTCCGACGACGCTCACGAAGAACACACGAAAGAAACCTCCGACATCGAAGAACAGGAAAAAGAACAGTAACAACAACGGCAAGCGATATGGGATTGATGATGCCGATTCTGGCAGCGATGACGATCTTGGTACGACGCAGATCATGGCTGGTAGTACCCTCCAGGAGGGCCACAGAACGGACATACCATTTGTCGTGCCTTCCATACCGCCGCCCTGGGTCGTCTTGAACACTGCGAACTTTAGGCACCCTTCGGTGTCTGCGATTCTGCTTCTGCTTCTTTTGCCGACTACCCTGTAAGATGACAAAGAGCTTTATGAAAAAACGGTGGCTACGAGAGAAACGAGCATTATGAAGATCCACGAGGCATAGTCCGGAATCTCAAAGATTGATAGATTTAAAAAACTTCGATCTTGCACGATACAGGTACAAAAATTTATTTTACACGAATCAACATTCAAGATAAAAAACTGTAATTATTATTTAAAAGCGTTTTTCTTTCTTCTACAAACATTTTTATCGGTCAAGACTTGTCCATGATTTTTGAGTTACAAATAAAGTAGAACTCTTTATATACTATTATACATTTATATCAGATATTATATTATCTGTGTCTATAAATATATTTATATTAGATTGTCTAATTTTTAAACGGTTTGATGACAATATCTTTTTTCCTGGATCAAAGTCAGTTTTAAGGCATTTAATGCTATATTGCTGCGCATTGTAAGAAACGATTATCTCTACCGTTAATCTCGGACAAAATTTGCCTTCAAAGCTTGTCAGAATATATTTAAAAGGAGTAATCGTTATAAAGGAATCCTGAATATTACAGACTCTTCTATTTTAATCATTATTTGATGTACTTTACGTTTTTTTGCGATGTCAAAATGCTTTCTCGGATTACGAGCTCCGTTCTAAGTATTGATCGTGAAATCCAATACCTTTGAAGAGTAGAAAACCAATCTCTTTAAGATAGAATAGCCTGATTCCTATGGAATCTGACATCGACTGACCGATAATTACCTTCATTACCTCCTATTATTTGCATAAATTTCTTGCTTATTTTTATTTTTTAATGACAATTTTGAAGTAAACACTAAATGTATCGTTGTATCATCTCGGTAATCTAATATCTTTGTAAAACTTACAAAAACTTTTATCATGGATTGCTAAACATTAAAATTGTTTCTGATATCGCAAAAATGCAAAATTAAAATATATAAAAAAATAATAAATAAAAATAGAATATATAAAGCATTATTTTTAATAAAAGCAGGCAATTTCAATCATCAATCAATATTGTATTTGATTTTTTGTTTATAGCCCAGAAAATTAACATTTTATGATATCTTCATTCACCATTTGCGTGTTTGAAGCTATTATAAATTCAGGATAGAGATTAATGAATGAACTTAGAAAAGCAAACAATAGGGTCAGTTAGGGACCCCTTGTGGATCTTCATTATTCGCCTAAAAGTAACGCAAAGGGACGCGCCATGCGTACGCGACAATCCTATCTAGGCAGGTCAGTCCCTCTGGCGATGATTGTAAATATGAATGAAGGATGAGTAAATTCGCGGACAGGATGTATAAAAGAGAAAACGGCACTGTTCCCAAGACAGTTAGTTAGACATGCACGGTTTAAATGACAACGCTCCTAAAGTCAGTTTACAAGTAAATTAACTTACTTTTCAATTATACAATATTTGTGTGTATATCATATTAAATAAATACATAAAAATATAATTTTTTTTAAATTTGACATACTTAAAGAATCTTGTTATATTACATTTTAAATTTTATTTTACATTGTTCTTACATTTTAAGCACTCATAAATTGGTATAGTTGAATCTTATCTTTTTCTCTAAGAATGTTTTTGCAGCACTGTTTGAAGATTCGAGGCTCGTGATGGGAACAGAGTCGAGAGAATGAGGCGGAGTGTGCAAATTCACTCAGAAAAAAAAGGAAATAGGTCTTCCCCTTATTCGATATAACAAGGACGTACTTTTAGATGCGATCAGATGCAATCACTGCGGCGCGACCAAAAAGACGATGGCGAAATCTTCGACGTAGTCTCTGTAAATATACGCGACACAGTGTCAATGCGATATTTGATCGATACGCGAGTGAAAGAAATGCCTTCTTTCTCTCTCGTTTAAATCGGCGATTAATCGGACTGTAGATAAAATACAGGTCAAACAAGTTCGTGCATCGCGTACTTCGATCGACATGGCGAACACAGATAAAAAAATGATGTAACATCAAAGTACAAGATGAGTTCTCTGTGCCGACATCCATATGTTATAGAATTTTATATAGATAATCGTGATTATTAAATTTCACTGTTCAACAGACACTGTAAAAAGCTAAATTACACGAGAGAGAGAAGTAAACAAATCAATAGACGGATAAAGAAATAATGTATCTTGTTTAATCGTTCATTACGTTATTATTTATTTACATCGTTTATTCCAAACATTATTTACGATGATCAAATTAATTGCTTTCATTACTCAATTATTTTATATTGTTATTAATTATTTTATGAGAGTACTCCATTGAAATCATTAAAACACGAGGCTCACGCAATGCACGAACTTTCTGATTTGACGTTAAGAGTTCTTGCAAATCAATGTTCGTATTTTTACCGCTTAGAATTGAAATATATGGATTGTAATTGTTCAATATTCCAGGATATGAGTTGTTCCTTTTACTCTGTCGCTAAAAAAAAATATAACAGATACGAGCGCTTACTATTGAATTGATCGTAAATTTCCAAATATCTTCTGAACATTAATAATGCAACCATGAGCATTAAAAGAACCTGAGCGTCAATACTTGATTTCCAAATATCAAACAAGCTTTGTTTTACATTTTTTTAATTAACATTTTTATATTTATAGACGAAAATTCTGTTTATAGACATGTAATAGACGGCAAAACTCTTTCCATGAGCTTTTCCAATTGAGCGGTCCGAAATGCGATAACGCATTAATTTACCTATGTGCCTATTTTTTAATTATGGGCACCGCCAAAACTTCTCTGCCAAAATTTCCTTGCCAAAACTTCCTTGCCAAAATTTTCCTGCCAAAAATTTCCTGCAAAAAACTCATAAATACAAGATATGGAGGATCGATAAAGTACAAAGTTTTGTCAAATAAGAAGATGGGACTCATTCAAGGCACTCATTCGCTCAGGCTCTTGATCTCCGTTTCGCTAGTGACCGTTTTGCAGCCCCGTTTCGTCTTCCACGATACCTTTTTTTTTATCTCTCTGTCAGTATCTGTCGCGATCAGGACACCGGCAGGCTAAATGTGCGCTCGACTATCGCAAATTGGCGCGGCTTAATGCGGTCGGTGCACTTTTACAATTAGATGAGCCGACATATACTGCAGTCCGTACGCAAAGCGGAGGGCACGACAATAAATACGGTATAGTGAAGTCCTGTCAGATCGAAGATTCATTCGGCTTAAAAGCTCGCTAGAAAACGCCAGCAATTTAATTCCTTTCCCATTATTTCTTTTAGATAATAATCCCGCCGCGAAATTTTTCACAAAACCCGCTGTATATTTAATTGTGCTTAATGAAGCGGTTTTACTATTGTCACTTAATTGATATTTATGCAATTTATGATAGCTTAAATAAATGAATACAATAGAAATGTCAACATATATTGTATTGCTAGATGTACAAAATATATCTTTTTGTCGTTCTTTTATGTTATTTGATATTTTAAGGAATCAAACTTATACTGTAAATAATATATTATGACATTTAAATACATACTTAGTGATAATGGTGGCACTTTGCAAAAATCCGGCGAGTTTTTAAGCACATCGCAGATTGCTTGGCACACTCCATAATACATTTCATAATGTACAGAGTATATAAAAAATCGTGCATTTTGCTTCACAGTTATAAAATACTTTGCAAGGAAAAATTTAATTTAAGTGAATTATATTTAAAATTGTTTAATTAGACAGAATATATATTTTGTTATTTCCAGTTTTAAATTTTTATTTAAAAAATCTGATTTTTGTGTAGAAAATAGATTAAAATACGCGAGAATTTTTTAATTCGCTTTTTAATATATCGAGAGAAAATGTAATTGTTTTTTTATATATTCTGTATATGCAATATATACATAATGTATATTTCATTTACATAATATACCAAGTCCCATTAGACAAAATCCATTGGATCCATTGGATCGTGAGATACGCTATCAGAATGCAACACAAAATCGGCGTTAAATATAAAAAGATACATATACATGGCAACGAGACATATGAATCATATAGGACCACGTTTAATGTATGTACATACGCTCGTATTACACGTTAACGGATACATATGTAAATGTAAATAACACGAAAGCTGTGTGTGGACGTTCGGATTTTCGAAGTAAGCGATTAGGATTCGTTCGGTTCGATGTATCCTCGAACGAAGCTAGATTTTGTAATAATGTGAAATAGAAGACGGATTTGCGGTGTAACATAATGAATATGGAAAATAAGTCGTGCCTATACGCACGAATACGTATCTACGTACAGTTATATATACATATATTACATATAAGTAAGTGTGAATCTTGCTCGTTCGTTAGAATTCAGACAACGAAAGTCCGAGCGGATGCTTTTGTCGAAATGTTGTTCGAAGAACATCAACAACTTTTGTTTCATCGCAGGGAAGAGATCGGCAACCATTGAGTTTTGTCACTTGTATAAATTTCCAGAAAATCAAATGCCTCCAAATTTTCAGGTATATAAAATCCTAGATTTTTATTTTATATTAATAAAATGTCTTCCATTTAAAAAAAATATTATTTTTACGTTTTTAAATCTTACGGATATAAAATATGTGAAACAATATATATATGAATCTATTTTGTAATTTTTATATACATTCTTTTATATTTCTAATGTATATAATAAAATTTTATATTTACTTTCCCATTTTTTAACTTTTATAAATTTTCTCGATATTTATCATGATTTATTCACTTAAAATTTTATATTATAAATTGTTTTCTGGAATAATTTTCTTGTTATAGATTTTTTTATTAAATTCGTACATATTTTTTATGAAAATTAAAAATTTAATATAGTCAGTAAGTGACAAAAGGTTGCTAATCCCTGTACCATATATCACGGCAATCTGATTGTTAATCTGTCATGAGTGCAGGGGCGAATGAGGGAGTCGCGAAGGCCTAAGGCTACAAATGTGCAAAATCTGAAATAAAAACACCAAGTATCTCTATATTAATCTATTAAAAATATCTTTACAAAAAAAATGTTTGGCACTTGCGGATATTTTCACTTCAATTCTACTTTGGATCCGACATTAGTAGATTGAATTTAATATTTTAATTCCCTTTGCGATTTAAGTATTAAAATTTTATTCGGTAAAATGCAATTTAATTCATTCATATGACGATATCAAATTTTAGAAGTTAAAACTTGACTGTTTCACAAACTTTTGTTTAGACATCTCTTAGCGAAATTGATCACAGTTATATCTTTAACATAAAGGGAGTCCAAAAATTTTTGAGACAGCCGAAGGCCGATCTGTTTAGCTTATGTAATCCACCTGATTTTCAGCGAACGAAATACGACATGATTGTTTGCGATTGTTAATGATATATCAGTCAGACGAAAATCTGTGAACATGTTAAAAATTAACTTAAGAAAGCTTATTTTCGGGAAATTGACAGCCTCAAGGTGGATGTCAATGGTTACTTCAATGTCCCAACAATTTAATAATCCAACTCTCCGATTGTGGTCGCACAATATGGAATTACAGTAACAATTCCGACAGCTTTGAACACGCCCGAAGTTTGAATTACAAGTTTGAGAGTGCTCGAACTTCGGTCTGAGTTGTGTAATTGAATATGTCACACAGAAGTAATGGGATACCTAAGAGAAATTGCACAATTGTTTATAACAAAAATAAAATTTATATATTACAGCTTAATATGACGACAGTGTCATAAAAAATCATATAGTATCACAAAATATAAAAGCCACACGTATGAATCTATCGAATGTGAAAAATGTTGTTTTAAATTAAATTTGAGAGTATTTTAATTGCATATTAAATAATTGTGTTTAAATAAATTTCCTAAACTTTGCATTGCATATAGAGATAATTTTTAAGGCCTGTATTCATAGTCCAATCTTCTAAATAACTCAATGCTTAAGCCTTTTGATGTATTTGAGCATTGACTCATTTATAAAATTGGACTATGAATCCGTACCTTAGAGAGATTTTTCGGTTCGTCTCTCGCTTGATTTTTCCTCTTTTATATTGGATTTTATTTTAAATGTACATTGCTGTAACTTATTATTGGATATTGATCTCTAAGTTATTACAATTTTGGCTGTCACTATGAAAATCGAAATATCAAGTAATTTTTTACGAAGAATCTTTTTTGAAACCTAAGACAGAAGAAGCTACAGTCAAGCACCCTTAACATGCTTCCAATATAATAAAGAAAAGTTTAATGCGATCAGTTCCGAGCAGTGAAGTTACGCACAGCAATAATAGTAAATAACTTGTGTCTGCATCGTTAGCCGACGAGCACGATGCCCTTTATCTTTTGTAAATTAAAACTGTGAATACCTTGCCTTCGACGGAATAAAAAAAAAACAATGAGAGTAATAACTAGTATACCAGTTCGAAAACAAAATATATCGCGACTACCCATAGAACGAGTTACGATAGGGAATGAGCATGATTGTACGATACTATTAACTTCAGACAATAAAATGTTATTATCGATGTTACCCTATTATCTGTATTTGACATGTTTCTGCGCCTTCTACAGCATGAGCTTAACATCAACTGTTGAATTAATTCCATTAATGCACGAGATTTTTCGAATAATAAGGTAAATGACAATTAAGCGAGTGTCATGTACAGAAGTTTATTGTGTACATTTAAATTTTTTTCTTTTTCAGATAAAAAAATTACATTGCATTTTCATTTTGCCTCGCTCACATTAGCCACACGTCCACGCTTAGTGGCTTTCGTTCGTTTCAAGCTCTCGTTCTTCTCTTTCTCAAGAATCTCCTTTAATTTCTCAACATGACTCTGATAGTTGACTGCACCTGCTGTGGCATCCAGCTGCATTCGCTCGATGTCTGGTACAGTCTTATGCGCGCCACTTAACATTTGCTTGAATATCCCGACCTGATTCGTCGTGAGCACAGACACTGCGGTGCCGGGTTTTCCTGCCCGCCCGGTTCTACCAGCTCTATGTATATACCCTTCGATGTGCTTCGGGACGTCGTAAGAAACCACCAATTGTACATCCGGAATGTCTATGCCTCTAGCTAGTGCATCAGAGCTTATTAATCTGAAAAGGATTAAGATTAATTAAACTGTTAAAAATAGACTATTTTCTTTTTTTACTTTTTTAGAATACAGTTTCTGATAGAATTAAAATTAAGAGACTTATATTTTTGGAGAACAAAAGATTTCCTTATAATATTGGAATCATTTTACTTTGACAAGTGCAAAACTTACACGTGCGTCTCTCCGCTTGCAAATTTGCCAAGAACACTTTCGCGCTGCTTCGATGCAAGCTGGGCGGATAATTCTCCGACTGCGACATTCCGTTCCGACAAGATTGACTGCATCAAAAGCGCCAGTCTATGTGCGGTATTTCCGGAATTCGTGAAAACGAGAGTCTTGGAAACGGTATCGTGTCTCGTCAACAGCTGATACAGGGCAATTGGTTTGTATTCTGCGGCGCATTCCACTGCAAGTTCTATTAGTTCTCCTGGACTCGTGTAACGCCCGACAAAGTCGCCCGCGATCTCATCCAGATTCACGTCGGTGTCTTTGTCAGTCACTACGACGCTCGTGAATAATATTGGCTGGAAAAGACCCAACCGACTCAACTTCTCAGGATCTTGCGACAAAGTCGCACTAAATAATAATTTCTGAGCTGGTACGATCTTGCTGTTTAAAAATCAATAAAAAAAGATTAATGTAACTTGCATATATAAAGTAAAAATCTGCATGATAACAATCTCCAAAACAAATTATAAAAATTAATTATACATTAATAAACATTCAGATAAAAAATACCAACTTTGAACGCATATTTTCAAGTGTCAAAATAGGAGCTCGAGAATGAGGCTCAGGTAAATACTGTAGCCATTCCGTTGCACGATCAGCCTCGTCAATAACGAGAAACCTCAGAGAATCCAAGGAAAATCCAGGTGTCTTTAATATGTGATCTACTAAGCGCCCAGGAGTGGCGATTACAATATCCACTGTGGACAAGTACTTTCCTCCTGCGGCTACAAAAATAATTTTGCAAAATTTTTATATATTTGCGGTTTAAATTATTAGCAATAAAAAATTAAGTATATACTTTTCTTAATTATACTACTCTGCTCTTGTTCGAACAAGAATGCACCCGAGAGTAAACCGACTTTTAAATTTGTGTGAGATGTATAGGTGACCATTACTTTGTGAACCTGTGCAGCCAGTTCTTGCACTGGTAGAACAACAAGGCAGCGAATTTTCGATACCAATCGCGTTTGCAATTCCTGCACAATTGGCAACACATAGGCCAGGGTTTTGCCTATAATAAAATTATTTGTTATGAAATAATAGCAAAAAGATGTATCACGATCAATCATTATTATCAATTTTTGTTGCAGACACTTACCACTGCCTGTGGGAGCAGATACACAAGTATCTCTCACCCACCATCCCAATTTTCTATCTATGTTGCACTTGTGCAACCATTTTATTACACTAGATTGGACTGGAAATAATTTAGCAAAGCCATTAGCTTTTAAGATTTCTATCAGTTTAGCGTCCAAAATTGAATCAAACTCATCCAAACTC